AATAAATAAAAATGGTTCTCACTTGCTACTGCTAAAAAAAATCCTTTATGGGAAAAAGATAGCACAAAAAGAAATAAAGTAAAGTAAGTAAAAATTGATACATTACCTCAATCGGGCTTAGTACACCCCACACCGGATCTCCTCCTCTAATGGTGCTCGGGATGAATGATCAATCTCGAATCTACTAGGTATGACAAAACCTTCCAATAATGAAAGTATATGGAGCTATCTTGAACCAAAGTATTAAGATCTCAATGTCTTAGCCTTTCTTAAGCCCTTTCGGCTTAACCTAGAGAGAGAGAGAGAGAGAGAGAGAGAGAGAGATCTCATAGGTGGGGCATGCCCCCATCTAATTCTTTACTTCATGAGATACATAATATTAGAAAGAGAGAGAGCTTTCCTAAATGGATTGTGCATCCTTGGGAGAGAAGGAGAGAGTTAGGTAAAGAAGGGAAAAGATTAGAGGTGTAGAGATTTAGAGAAGAGGGGATCCCAATTTATTGTTTTTCTAAGCCCTAGGGTTTGCCATCTTTAGTGAGATCAAATCTAAACTATTGATCTAAGACGACTTGTAGGGTGAAAGATGTGAGCATCCATTCCTTAGATCCACCATCAAGATTCAAAAGAAGGTGTTGTACCATCTCGAAATAGAGTCGAGAGGTTCGTGACCACCCCGGCACATATCAAACACTCTACAAACTATTATGAGATGAAAATAGTACTGAAAATACGATCGCTACCCTCGGAAGAGGCTAAGGGACCTATGATTATGCTTATGCAAGTCAACAAACTTGCATATATATAATACAAATTATAAATAAGCGGGGATTATGGAATTCGCTTGAAACTACAAGTATTAGGCCAACCATAAGAAGAGTTCTCAAGGGCTCTAACACTTTTAGCACCTAGAGGGTGATTCTATACTCGCTATAATAGCTCCAACTTTCCTTTGTAAAAATTGTGACTTTTGACAGAAAATAGATAATAGAATTACTAAAAGGATGCAAACATAATAATAAAGATTGACCTTTGGAGGAAGAAGAGAGATATGAAGACAATTTAACTAAAGTGATATGAAGTATTGAACAAGTGTTACCTCCTCTAAGTACCAAATCGTCTACTTCTTGAAACCTTGAGCATAAATTGGTCCTTAAGCAAGCAAGACTTGTAAATTCTCTCTTCTCACAACAATTTAGCATAATTTTAACACAATCTCTAAAAGGTAACTTGAAATTTTGCGGTAGGGCTATTTATAGATTTTTAGAGGGGTACCCAATGAAAATTCGAGTGAAAATTGAATCCAAGGAAAAAAGGTGGGACTTCAAATGATGCCCTGGAGCATGATTCCAAGTCGCGCATTAAAGGCTAGCTGATGGGTGGCGCTATTCCAAATTGCACCATCATTTGGCCCAAAATAGGGCACGATTTGAAGTCGCGCCCTGGGGCGCTATTTCAAGTGGCACCCTATTTTGAGCGTGTAGGTGGCAACAATGATGACACGTGTCCCAATGGCTAGCTGACTGACCATGGTGCTACTTTGAATCACGCCATCGTTTGGCCCAAAATAGGACCCGATTTGAAGTTGTGACCTAGGGTGCTATTTCAAATGGTGCCCTATTCTAGACACATTGGCGTGCATGCAGAACGTGGGCCTTAGAGAAGCGCCACATATGTTGCAGGTGGTGGAATCAATTACATGTGTCCTAACGGCTAGCTGACTGGTTGAGGCATTAATTCAAGTCGCACCTCTGTTCGGTTAAAATTGGGGCGCGATTTGAAGTCGCGCCTTAGGGCGCTATTCAAATTGGCACCGTACTTGGGACGTGTTGGCCTCAATGTAGAACATGGGCTCCACATGTGTGACAAGTGTCATAAAATTTATTCAAGTAATGCTACGTGCATCAACATTCAGTTCTTTTAACAGGGTGCTATTCGAAGTTGCTCCATAGGTTTCTATTCGAATAAGGGCACAAAATTATGTGACTTGTTAACATAGCGCTATTCGAAGTTGCACCATAGGATGCTATTCGAAGTGGCATGCAAAATTGTATGAGTTGTTAATTATGTAGGACGTGGGCCCTTCATGTGAGACACATGTCGCGAAAGGTATTCGAGTGGTGGCATGTGATCAATGGACGTGAGGGAAAACAATAAAGTGTGATGTGAAGTGGCTCCCTGAAATGGGGTGCAATTTCAAATCGCACCCTGGTTTTTGAAAGCCAAGGAAAATAGGGCGCGATGCCTATGTAGTGCACAGATACGTGTCGATTGAAATTATAAGCCGGGTAGATGTAGGTGCGGTTTGTGTCCTTACCACATATTTTCAGAAGTCGAATATCAATAGGTGCTAGAACCTTATCCTCCATTTCCTAAACTTGTTCCCATCAAATATTCAAATAAGAAAAATATAACCATACTTTCTCTTTTTATGGATATTCATTCCATATTCACATAATCTTGAAAGTCAAATATCTTGATTCACAAGACATACCATAATGTATTATCTTGATTCCTAAACCATTAAAGCTTTAGCACAAAATTAGAAAGCCAAACTTAGCATGAGGGGGCTTGGACCAAATGGTAGTCCATTTGTTCCTTGTGTGGGGTGTGCCACCTTAGATGGCTCGAAGTGGGCCCCACACAATCGCCATGTTGTTAATCATTAAAATCCCCCCCCCCCCCCCCCCCCCCAACCCTTCATAGTGGCCCCCCATATGTTAAGTTAGTTAGTTAATGATGTTTAAATAATTATAAACAATGTTTATTTATGTATTATTATTTGAAACATTGAAAATTGATTTTCTCGTATCTTATAAATCAAATAGTAAACATAAAATATCAAGAGAATCATAAAAATTCAAATAATCATTATGAAAATCATAAAACACAAACTTAATTAAAACTATTTAATTTTGATGGGAATTAGATCCGTAAAGGTTTAGGAATTATGAATATATTGAAGCACTCCACCTGCAACTGTGGACTATGATCCGTACTAGCTTTCTTAAACTGACCCAGTGGTTCTCATGACCCACAGTCAACTGCATGGGTTCATGATTGGGTCACAAAGTCAGCCAATAGGCAAGAAGACACAATCTCAGTCTATGGATTACAGGTTCTCCCATAGAGATCAGTTCATGGTCCCCCAGACCATGATGCAACAACAGCTCCATGGTGCATAGGGGTAATCTCTCGCACATGTACACCCTTCAACTTCAAAAGTGGATTGCTTTCTTGATATGGCTATGTACAAGTCGTGCGATGGTTCAGGGATGAGGCTTTGGCCCAGTCTCTAAAGGTCAACCATCGCACACAAGGGCCACATAGTCCCTCGGCTCACTCATCCAAACAACTTCTACCTCATCAAGGGATGACTTACATAACCCTCATCTGTTTAACTCTATGCCCAGGTGCCTAGTCTTTTCAACTAGACTGGCCTAGCATGTCGAGCCAAGTTCGAGTATCAACATATACAATTTGCCTATTATGGTCCACAAGCGGACCACACTTCTATTGAGTTTATATTTCTCTATATAAAATGTTTATACAAGTTTTCATAACACCTTTAATGGCCACACATACCCAACATTTTTTTCGACAGTTATCACCAAATTATTTTTTTATGGGCATAAGTCCAACAGTGAACATTCGTCTTTGCATTAATGTAGTGGACAATATGAACGGTGGAGGGCGATGATATGAAAAAACATAGAAGAAAAATCCACCACTGCCCTTCAAAAATGTCCCATCTGAGTGGGTTGCATACAGATCATCTCCATCACTGATAAGTAATAGGTATAAGGGCTGACAGGATCTCATTACAAAATGATGGACAAAAAAGTATGGGCATCTATTATTAAAATTATGTCTCAAAATTGGCTAATGGAAAATGACGTGGAAGTCCAAGTCGGATTATTTTGCCAGAAAAATAAAAATACATATCCTATTTTTAGTGGATGAAAATCCTTCCAATAGGAGAGATTTCCTAGCTCTTTGGATATGGTTACGTGATAGTTTTTGTAAAGGCCAACTGGTGAGCATGGCTTAGTCAATCAATGGCATAAGTCATGGCATAAGTCACCTAACCACTGCAGGATTTGTCTTTATTTTTCATTTTTCTTTTTAATTTTTTAGTAAGTATATTCAAAAAATGAGGGACCACAACTTGAACAATTCGCGATCTATTTTAACAGAACTCCCTGGTTTAATGGAGAAATATTTTTTTTGGAGTCATTTACATATGGATCTTAAATTTTTCTCTATAATACGGAATTCTCCATTTATAAATCGAAGTTACAAAAAAGGTTGGTCAGCCCCTTTTTATATTTTTTTTTCAAAAATGCCTTTCGGTCGGAAGACATCATTGGACCAACTTTTAATTGTTATTTTTTAGTTTTTCCCGTTTGTGGGGCCGAGAAATATTTTTTTTGTGAAGAAATATATTTTTGAGTGATTTACATATGGATCCTAAATTGTTTTCTAGAATACGAAATGGTACATTTATAGGTAGAAATTACAAAGAAAGTTAATCAACCCACTTTTTTATTTTTTCCAAAATTACTCTTCGGTCCGAAGACATCCTCAGACTAACTTTTAATTGTTATTTTTTATTTTTTTGTTTGTAGGGAATGTCCCTACTAATGAAAAAAACTAAAATAAATAAAATAAATTCGAACTGAGGATTTCATTATCAAACCAAGAGGCAATTTTAGAAAATTAAAAATGAGGGTTGACCGACTTTCTTTATAATTTCTACCTATAAATAGAGCATTTTGTATTTTACAAAAATATTTAGGGTATGTATGTAAATCATTCTTTTTTTGATAAGTACGTATGTTCCCTCATGAGCATAGTTTACTTCTAGTCCCTTGATCAGATCATTTACTAAACACAGGGCTTTTGTGGTCGCCATGGCACAGAAAGGGCCATGGACCCACATAGAGCTTATCACTTTTCCCATCCATTTTTATTGCTTCTTCTTCCTGCGTGTCCCTCTTTCAAAAGGAGCTTCAACCCATTAAACCTTTCCCTGCCTCCCAAAGCCACTAATTTATTGTTCCCTTTTATTGCCTCTTTCTTTCCATTTCCACCTATAAAGTGTGTGCTTTTTTTTTTTTCTCCATTATTTTGATTCTAATTCACTTGGGTAGCTTGGAGGTTAAGAGATTTGTGTGGTTAAGAGAGTATAAATAATAAGTTTTTGTTAAAGCTCCATTGTTGTCATTTTCTTAGTGGTCCCGCGCTCATCACAATGGATATTTGGTAACCCCAAATCGAGGTGAGGTCGGTCAATCTTGTACTAGATATGCGTAGTTTAAGATTTGGCTAGATAGGTGTTAGTACTAATATGCTTCATTAATTTTAAAATTATGACCGGATATGGTGAACTAAAAATGCTTGTTTAAGTTTAACCTCATCTCCTTCTTGATAAAGTAGGTAGCATGACCACCCAGTGACCGTTCACAGGGGTACTGTACATATGCATGTACAAAGAGGACACAGACCAAACCCCAAGACCCTGATTTAACCCCTATACTACACATGCATGGACATGGGAAGAGAGAGAGTGCATGGACATGGGAAGAGAGAGAGAGAGAGCAAAGCCCTAAGACCCTCATGACTCCCTATCATGAGGATCACACATGGGTGCCAAGGATTCCTCCTCACCAGTCTCCATCTTCCAGAGTGAGTCCCATGAGTACTCCCACAGAGGAGATTCCATTGAAGAAGAACTCGAGAATTTAAACTCTCCTTCATAATCTTCAATCTCCTTCCATATCTCCTCCATCAAACTCTTTCCCTCCTCACCTCCTTCCTCCTTGTTAAGTTTCGTGCCCTCTTTCTCCAGCATCCGTCCTTCTCGTTCTTTATCAGATGTCAAGCAAGATGAACATGACTGGGGTGATGGATCGTTTCGACGCTCTTGCGCCTTCTTCCTCATATGGGTCCTCCAGTAATTCTTTATCTCATTATCTGTCCTTCCTGGCAATTTTCGAGCAATTCTCGACCACCTAAAAAGTGAAACCCTCGGTTCAACATACTCCCAAGACTTCCAAACAAATTCACAACAACAAGGGCCACCTAAAAACTGAAACCATCACTGCACAATACTCCACGTTTTCGAAGTAAATTGAAAACAACAGCTAGAATAAAGGTGCATACTATATATATATATATATATATAGTGAAGAAGTTCCAAGTCTTCTAGACCAAACGCATGAGTCACATGTGTATATATGTATGTATATATATACCTGTTTCCCCATCGGGATTGGAGATCAAGGATGAGGCATTCTTCTTGAGGAGTGATCTTACCGCGCTTGAGGTCCGGGCGCAGGTAGTTAACCCAGCGCAACCTGCAACTCTTTCCACTTCTGTTGAGACCTACAACAACAATTTGATCCAGGTTAAATAGGCAGCGCCCCTCCCCATCATATTTCCTTTATTACCTCCAAATTAATCTTACTTGAGTAGTGCCCCTCCTCCCCTCAAACCTGAAACTTTGGCTATGAAATCCCAGCGCCGCTCACCGAACAGCCCCACATAACAAACCAGCTGCAAGTCTTCCTGCTCCGTCCATGGCCCCTTCCGAATCTCTATGCATGCCATCTCCCTTGCTCTTCGCCTCTTTCTTCTTCACCTTCCACCTGATATTTAAGGCCGTCAGTTTTGCCGACATCACTTATCTCTTTTTTATATTACATCTCCCTCTTTTTTCCCTCGTAATTTAGCTTGCTCTATGGGTGTGTGTATGTGTATGTGTGTGTATATATATATATATATATATATTTTCCAGAATGTGCACCCTGGATGTCATTTCTTTTTTTGGGAGTGATAGTACTGATCACTACGGAACATGTACTAGAGTGAATGAAATGTGATGAATATATATATTCCGAAAGATTTCATACTCCCAGAGAGTATAATATCAATTTACTCACTTGTGCAAAATCAAATATAAGAGGATGCAACCTCTTCGCCTCTTCAACACATATACTAACCTGAATATAAAAAAGAATAAGAAAGGTTTCTATACTTCCCCTACAGTATAGAAGATATATTCTTCCCCTGCCATCCAACCGTCCAATTTTGATCAAATCAACCACTCACGGTTTGATCTAGATCTGATGCATTAAAGTATTTTATTTTTATTTTTTAACAAATTTTATGAATATGAAATTTTGTATGTACCATCTTCTCATTGGGGCACACCTAAAAAAATACTAAAAATAATTTTTAATTAAATATAGTTACCAAAATACTCCTTATATAGCGTATTTTGATCATTTTATTTTATTGAGAATTTTTTTTTTTTTATATATATATTTTTCCCAAGTGCAAGTTTAAGAGAGGATTGGATGGCCAAATTTTAGTTTTAAAATATTTTATAAAAAAAATTGAAAAATAAAATAGTGTAGAGACGTGACATTGTTTTTAAGGTCATCTTAGCCATCCATTTAAAATGGATGGTTGGATAAGGGGAAGTATATAAGTTTTATGCTATAGAAGAAGCATAGAAAGCTTGCTAAAAAAAAAAAAAAAAACAAAACAAAAAAAAAGCAAATTTCTCTCTCTATGCCATTGAAAAAAATAATGTCTCAAGATTTGAATATAGACCGTCCAATCTTTAGTTGGTGCGATCTAATCCAATCTTTAGTTGGTGAGATCTAAGTGCTAACAAACTCAAAACTCCAATGTTTTCTCTTGAAAAGAATCTCCTAGTCACTCTTTAAGTATTTGCCAAAATTTCAGGTTAAAAATACCCTCTCAAATAGGTATACTGACTGAGGGACTAAATCTACCTCATGCTCTGGCAGGAGCATAGCATAAGTGCTATGTAAATACATATCGTGGGCGGCTCAAGGCACTTTTGTTCGACGTTATATCTGGATGTTGTTCAAATTGTATTTATTAGGAATAAATATGCTAAATTTCCCCACTGACTTACCCAAAAATACAAAAAAAGAAAAATGCTAAATGTGTGTCAAGAGAAACGATTAACAGAAAGTTAGCTTGGTCTGGGTCCAAACAATTTTGCCCAACCAAACTCTTGACTATTATTATTATTAATTTGTTTTTTGTTTTTTTTGGGAACCCTTGATGTCTAGAGAAGCCCAAGGTATCATACACCAAAGATACATATGTTAGTTTTGAATAGTTGTAGTTTGTGGTATCCATATGTAAATCAATTTTACACAATTAACTATGAAGAAATCAATTTTGCTCAATATTTGACCGCTTGGGGCTTGCCTGGTTAGAGCGGTTGAATCGGTCGATTTACCGGTTAAGCTGCTTCCAGGCTGATATCCGATTAATCATTCTGGTTCGATTTTGCGGACACTGATATGAAGTTATTTACTTGAATATTGACATGAAAATACCTCATTGTTTTTTTAAAATTGCAATGTGTATATATATGCATGTGTAGGGGACTCTCCTTTAAACCTTGAGATTTTTGGCCTCCTCATGTGTGTGTCACGTAAAAATAAAAGCTTAATGAAATTATTGATTGCGAGCATTTTAGAATCTTAAATTTTAGGGATTTAACCTCTTCAACCCATATACTAAGTATCACCACGAATACACAAATTTCAATTGAAATGAAATCTTTAAGAGGAATCAATGAAAAGACATCAACTCAAATCCTGGATCTTCGAATTGAGAGAGATGAAAATTCTCACTATTTCTTAGATTCATGGAAAAAATTTGATTTAGTGGGGTCTTTCACTCACATTTTTTTCCACCAAGAACATTTTATGAAAGTCTTTGACTCTCAAATTTGGATAATCCTAATTTCATGCGATTCGCAGAGTTCAACAAGCAATCGATATTTCATGATCAAAGATGTAGTATTGCTTGTAGTAGCGGTCCTACATTGTATTAACAATCAAAATATGGTCGAAAGAAAAAATCTCTATTTGAAGCTTCTTTTTATACCGATGAATTCCATTGGGCCCATAAATGATACATTACAAGAATTGCAAGAATTTTTTGTCTTTCAATATTAATAGTGAGATCTAAATATTAGAAAACTCTAAATTCAAAAAAAAAAAATCTTTTGAATTAGTCATCTAATTATTTTTAAGTGGTTGTCAGATTTTAGATTAAAAAAATCTTCCGAAGGTTTTTGGCCAGCTATGTAAGTTAACAGTCCCCGCAGGAGCATAGTATACGCGCTTAAAATGTAGATGGGGACCACGTGCATGGAGGACACGTGGAGTAAGTTCTAATTTTAATACGACAAAGCAAAAAGCATTGTCTGTATGTTAAATGTCATCATGAATTAAAAATATGCAGAGTGCGAATTGCGTCATTGCTTGAAGCAAGTAACAGTTATTTAATTTCTAATGCTCTTTAGGAGTAACATTATTGTACCGTCAATGGGATTTGTAGAATGTTCAGGCAACCACACAAAATTGGACTGTAAATAAAGAGGAGGAGGAGATAAGTGCTGTTGAGCATTGTGAAGAGTCTTCCTGTAAAAAATTCCCCAAGTTAATAAATTTTTGGGAAGTTAGTGCAATATTTAATATTTCCTTTTTGATGTTGCACCCCACTAAACTTAGTTGCCATTCGCTCTAGGAAATGATGATATTTTATTTTAACAAGAACCAAGTCCAGGATTTTAATTACAGAAAGGTTCACATATTGAGTGACCGTATTACGTGATCCACCAGGGTTGAATCATAGTTAGAAACTTGGGAAAATTACAAAAAATTTCAAGACTACCCTTTTTATGCAATTTACCCTCAACTTAATTTTTTCTCCCACTCTTTTTCTCAACAAACTTTCTACGTAAATACCTCTAAGGAAAAGTTCATTTTTTTAGACGGAAATGCCCTTCCCATACACAAAAATCATTTTGGCTAGATTTGACGTTGACTTTTGGACCCCAGTAGCACATTGCTGGAGCGCCCAAGTACTGAACCGCTCTAAGACAAATACCGGACCGAAACTGAGTACTGTCGGACTGCCCTTTACATAGTGTCGGAGCCTTGGAATCCAGTAACATCTATTGTCGGACCACCCTTTGCAATTGCCGGACCACACTTTACACAGTGCCGAAGCCCTATTGCTGAACCACACTTTACACAGTGCCGGAGTCTTACTACCAGACCACACTTTACACAGTGCCAGAGCTCTACTGCCGGACGCACTTACATAGTGTCGGAGCTCCTATTTTGGTGGGATAGAGGAGATAGAGGCGTGGGTAAGGTAAAAGTAAGGGAGAGTAGTTTAAGCATTTTTTTTATTTTTATTTGGTTTGGGGGTATTTGGATAGAAAGTGTATTTTGGGGAAAAAAGTGAGAGAAAAAGTTAGGTTGGAGGTAAGTTGCATAGAAAGTGTAGTTCTGGGGTTTTTTGTATTTTTCTCTAAAAACTTTGGGGAATAATAATATATTGTTAAATTTAAAAAATCAGTAATAAATTGGAGGAGAAACATGGAAAAAAATACAGATGGCCAGTAATTAGTTAAGTTGAAAAATTATGAGTTTCGGAGTGGTGTAAAAAAATTGGCATATGTAATAGATGATATTTTTTAACAGATAACAGTTTTTAGTTTGAGGATATAGTAAAATTGTTGATTATACTATGAATTATTAGAATTTTGGGTCCTTAATAAATTTTTATCTAAATTTTTATTAAAATTTATTCTATATCATGACACAAAATATGCAATGATGTTATTGGGATCATACAATGTTGCAACAAGAAAAACAATTGCTAGACAACATGGTATGCTACACAAAATATACAATGATGTTATTGGGATTATACAATGATGCAACAAGAAAAACAATAAACAATAATCACATAATAAATAACAAGAGCAACAGTATGAGCTATAAGATTGTTGTTTAAAAAAGAAGAGAATTGCAGTATATGATTACTGTCGACAGTTATAGAAACCTATGATTACTGTCGACAATTATAGAAATCAGACATTGAGTTTCCTCTCTTGTATTTTACAAGATATTAAGTTTCCTATATTGAGTTTCATATTTTGCCAGATTACAGTTATAATAGGATTTGTTTCCTAAAAAGCAAGAATTGTAACTTTATAAATCTATGGTAAATCAGAATAATCCCTATGAATGAAATACTGGTTTACCCTCCATAGATGTAGGCATCATTGTTGAACCAAGTATATGTTGTGTTGATCTATTGTCTCTCTTCCCTTTTCTATTTCGTTCATTGCAATTTTGTTGTGGGGCCTTGATTCAACTGCCACTGCTATCAGCTTGATTGTCACACATGATTCTAATAGTTCCATGTTTTAGATGATTCTAATAGTTCCATGAAGTTAAGATGATTGAAGAACTTCTTAATCCAAATGGCTTCTAAAGTTGCGGAACTTAAAGCCATATACTCGGCTTCCATGGTGGATAGGGCTACAGTGTCTTGCTTCTTGGTGCATCAAGAAATGGCACCAACCCCATAAAGAAATAGATAACCCAAAGTGGATCTCGTGTCATCCGGGTCTCCTTGATAGTCGGAGTCCGTGTATCCTAAAAATTTAAGCTCACTCACATTTCCATAGGTTAATCTATAATCAATGGTCTACCTCATGATTCTTTTCATGGCTTTCCAATGTTCTAATCCAGGATCACTTTGGAATTGACCGATCAAGCTTTGAGCAAAAGCTAGATCGGGTCTAGTTTCCATGGTTAAATACATTGGTGATC